TAGTCACTTATACTCTAGTTCTTTGTTTTTATTTTTTGAATTTTATTATGAAAAGAAATTGTCTGAGTAACCTATATTTCTATTATGAATGAATACTTAATTTTTGTGTGAAAGATGAAATTTTGTTCTCGTCTTTGATAAAAAAAATTTCGTATATCAAAAATATAAAATACCCTTGAGAAATTGGTGACAAACGAAAGAAAAAAAGAATGTATGCTTTTGCTTTGTTCTTCAATAAGCACGTTTTTTGTTGTTTTCATCACAATTGTTTTCATTTCTCTTTCTTTCTTCTCATGTTCTGGCGTTCTGTTTTTAAAATCTCTTCTCGAAAATGAATTTGCTTGAATTATGACATTCTAAAAGAACAAAAGAGAAAACCAAAAAACAATTTCTATCAGTAAAAGAACTAATACAACGAATAAATTCATCATGACTTTGTTTTGTTTCGACTATGGTGAAGATAGTCGGAGCAAGTTCAAATATGTGGATAGTTTTTGTAGAATTGAATATAGATTTAAATCACCATTTCCCTTTTTTTAAATATACTCATGATGATAGCAGATATTTATTTACATCAACATCAATAATGATTCTTTTTGAAAATGGTATTTCAAAAAAACAGAAAATTTTGCCTGCGCCTATAATAGGTTCTTGCTTTTCAAAATTTTTAAATAACACTTTCAATTACTGTGTTCGCCGTATATATCTATCGATCAATTCAACAAACGAAAAAAAGACAATTTAGTTTCAACAAAAAACGTTCTTATTACAAAAATGAGTTTTTAGAATTACTGATTTTTATTCAACATCATCTTATACATGATGGATTAAATCACGTCATTTTTTCTAAAATACTTCAGTCAATGAAAGAAATTTCAATCGAACCCAAAGAAAACAAAGTTTCCCTATGTAATAGATTAAATGGACATAGTATTCATGTTAACATTTAAAATATAGGAGTTTGATAAATATTAATATAAACAATCATACAAGTTTTTCGAAAACAATATGCATGCGAAGTATGGTTGTTAAATTGAACTTTTATCAATCTCAAACTATCCATTGTTTCTGGATGCCCATAAGTACATTTGAATTTTGAACATCATCTGATTATCGTTAGAATGAATATTGTTCCTAATCTTCAGATAAAATCTAGATCAATGACGAACAAACAGATTACTAATTGAAATAGATATTATTAGGATACGTAATTTTCTGATTATTTTTATAATTTCCATGATCACTACATGACTATTCTGACAGAGAAGGGAAGTGTGGGTGTGCGTGTGCGTGTGAGGTGTGGGCGTGGGTGTGGGTGTGGGTGTGGGTGTGGTGCGGGTGTGGGTGTGGGTGGGTGTGGATGTGTGGGTGTGTGGGTGTGGGTGTGGGTTGAAGATGGGTGTGTAGTTCTTTCTTACATCCATACCCACACCCACACCCACACCCTTGTTAGCACAGCCCCTTTGGGAACGAAATGTGGAACTCACATATCTTCTTTGGTTTCATTATACTAATCACAAAATACCCAATATTTAAATTCTCCAAAAGATAATAGTTCTTTTCTGATAATAATCAATTATCAGAAAACGCTGTGTTTTTTATCTCTGTATTTCGAACAGACATTTTTCTTTTTTTGATGAAGTTGCTACGGTCTATAATTGGGAGTGTCTATAACGGAGATGTCTGTAACGGGGATGTCTGTAATGGGGGTGTCTGTAATTGGGAGTGTTTGTAATGGGGAGTGTCTATAACGGGGATGTCTGTAATGGAGGTGTCTGTAATGAGAGTCTGTGTGTAATGAAAGGGGAGCAGCCGCCAAACATTGAACTTAAAACTTACACTCACTATTTTCTTCGACAATATGTGACTTCCACAAAAGTTGACTTTTTTAGGGATATAATAGAAGGCCCCCCTCCCCCTTGTGACTTGTGAATGATAAGACACGATAGAAGATCCGGGGCCTTTTAATGTATCGTAGGCTTTATAGACCGTAGAGCTTGAGAGTGCGAGTTTGGACGTTGTTGTAGGCTGAGAGGCTAACAGTCAGATTCGTAGCCACACCCACACCCACCATCATCTATCGGTTCCATTTCTTTTGTTCTTGGAACGATACTTTCTGCAAAAGATCAAAGTTTTGGCTTTAAATTGTAGACACGCGGCATAAGTTTAATTGACAATATAACTCAACGAGTTTACATGAATAAATCGACAAGTATCTTTTTTTCAATCAGAATAAATCTATAGTCGAGGTTTCACTTCAGTGAGCTCCTTCAGTTTCTTGGCATAACTCGAAGTTAGAGTTTGATCATGTTTGCTATACTGTTTACTTTCTATTTCTGCCCATATTTTCTTCAACTGTTCATGTGTCGTACAGCGGCGAATTTTTCGAGCGTAACTTATTTGCTCAAGAGTTTCCGGTGGCCTTGCCTCATGTCCGGTCAGTTCACTAGATGTTCAATTGCATAAAAATGGAACTTGTTGGAGATTCAACTTTCGTCGAAAAAGTTCCAAACCCGATCGTCGTTCAATATCTTGAGTAGATGCAGCAAAATCGGTCAACGGGCGATTTCTATCGATTGGCTCATTAGGCACAGCAAAGCATCCAAGAGCAAAATCATTCTTGTCCTTGTTTTCAACAAGAAAACATTTAAAAAGATGAGTAGGCACGTGCACTTCATTGACGCCAATGACTGGATATGATAGATGTTTGTAGGAAAAATCTGGATTATCATCAGGGTTCTAAAAACAATCGAGAATGCATCCTATTCCGCGATGTTGAACATTGCGGAATCAGCTCCGCCTCCGGAACCAAGTCCATCCAATTCCGGGAGCTCGATCATGATTCAGCATAAGAGACATATTCCGCATCGATCGAGTTCCACCAATTCCCGGAATACCTGGAACTGAGTTCAGACGGAATTACTAGCAATCCCCAGAAATTCCTTCCAATTCCGGAATTGGAAGAGACTCCAGAAATTCCGAAATCAGAAGGAATTCCCTGGAATTCCTTCTAATTTCGTCTCGGCTCAATTTCCGGAATTCCGTACCGGAGTTACTTACTTATCCTAGGCATTCATCTTCAACCACACCACCATGCGTGAGGGTGAGGGCGACAAGTAATTCCGGGTGTGGGTGGGGGTGTGGGTGTGGGTGTGGGTGTTTGGTTTGGGTTTGGGTGTGGGCGTGGGTAAAGGGGAATAGTAGACCCCGACACCCACACCCACACCCACACCCACACCCACACTAACACCCACACCCACACTAACACCCACACCCACACTAACACCCCCACCCCCACCCCCACCCCCACACCCACACACACCCACACACCCCACCCACCCACACCCACACCCACACCCACACCCACACCCACACCCACATCCACACCCACACCCACACCCTTCGTATTTTGGTGGATGAATGCGATCGAAGAAATTAAAGTTTTTTATATGCTTTAATACTATAAACTAAGCGTCATACATTAAACGAAGAGATAGAATTAACAAGAAAACTTGTTCTAGAGTGGATCAAAATAGATTTTGTTGTATATGTTACAGGAAAAATAAACAAGTTGACCTACCTATTTCATCAATTTTCGGATAGAGATTGTTGTTGAACCAATCACGAAACCTTGTTGGCCATGTTTGAGAAACTATGTTGTATTGATTGATGAAATCACGTTTAGACAGTTCTCTAAAGAGATTGATGATAGTATCCATAAATTTATTTATTATTTCTTTTCTTTTTTTGAAAAACACAGATGTATCTTCTTCATTAAGATCAACAATTTGTTCAGCAGGAAGGAAATATTTTTTAGCAGCTGCTTTGATATTTTTTCCTAAATGGTTCCAACATCGAAGTTGTTCTACATTTGGATAATAAGAATGAAAAGCATTTTTTAACGCATTTTCACAATCTGTTATTAATACACAATTTTTTCCAATTTCTGGAATTTCATAATTTAAAATCTGAATGAATCTGTTATGTGATCGTTCTTTTTTGTAATCATGAAAAAGAATAGCAAGTGGAACAATCGGCTGTTCGATAAACATAACATGTTTGTATGTAAGAGCCTAAATCGAAAGGTAAAAATAAAACAGAATTATTTTATAATTCATTTCACTCTTACTGAAACATATATTTCTCCTAAAGAAAACGTTGTATCGTAATAAACAGGTACAGTTTCTTTTGTAATACGTAGTAGTTTGGAAAACTGTTGTGTCATTTGATCGTGAATTAAGACGACTAGTAATTCAGATTGTATTTGAAGCAATTTAAAGTAACCATTCGAATCAAACGATAGCAATAATAGATTTTTTATTTCATCATTTGCAATTCTTTGTTGCTTCAGATATTTTTGACGACGATATTGACATTGAGCAACGTTCCGAGGTGCATCATCTCCATCATTTGTCGCAATAAGATGTTTATAAGCTTTAGAACGAGACATTTCTTTAACAAGAGAATCAATTTTTTTACTGTTGATGACAAGGTACAATGAAAAAAATGTGATGATGTTATTAATTTCGAATAACCATGAGGACGTCGTGTTGCTATATTCATATTACCTAAGTGAAAAGGAAAATGTGTGACGTGTAATCGAAATTAGACATATTTTATAGTATATCCTTCACATCTATTCTGCAATTGTCTTTTTTTAATTGTGACAAAAGAGTATTGAAAATAGGCACAGATAGCGACTAATTTTGAGTATTATATTAATCAATAGAAGTCTTAATACTACTGCTATTGGGGCAGAACAGAAAACGATTGCCGTTAGCAGTAATTCAGCACAATGCTAGTGAGCAGGCAACTCACCAAATTATAGCTCTTTCTATATTTGCTTGGAGAAATTTTTGGACTTAAGATTCAATAAGACTGCTTACGATATAGCATACTATAACATCTAAACAATTTTTGTTGAATACGTAAACTTGTTTTACACAACGTGAGTCTTTTTTTTATCTGCGTTGACACAGGAATAATATTTTTTTGTAAAATCAGGTTTCTGCCGAGGATATGGAATTGATTTATCATTTTTCCAAATGTATCCATCCTGCTTCCATATATCTAAAAATACACATCTTATTTACAATGGTATTACGCCAATAGCAACACTTACCTTGAGTTTGTATCGTTAATGATAGTCGATACACCACATTAGACATTACAGGATCTGGTAAACTCTCTAACTTCTGATTATTATTCAGTATAAAATTTAAATCATCAATCGTTAGTCGACCAAACGAACGATTCACTGCTAAATTATAAAAAATTTTTTAATGAAAATATTTATCTGAACACTTTACTTAAACTAATACCATCACAATCTTCATTCATCATTGCTGCAGCATAAAAAGAATAATAATAAAACTAAGCAATGAAATGCTTAATACATCTAAAAATAAGAAAAATATTGCAAAATAAACAGATAGACTTTTTCGCGTTCATCTAAGTAGGAATGATTGTTATACATAGGTTAGTCAATAAGTTCTCGGACTTTCAAATATTTATTCATAGACAAAACATTCTACTAATCTTTTTACAGTAAATGTTCGAAGTAGTCCCCACGATGTTCAA